AGAAACTGAAGCATTTGTTAAGCATACTCGGTACAGTGCACTAAGCCTAAAGAATGCTGAAGTTTTGCAGTTTCTTATAAATATTCAATTAACCTTTCTTGTTGGTTTAAAAAGAAAGATAAGGGTGCCATGTCTGCTGCATCAGGATATCAGGGCCGTTTGCTAGAATCTGGTTTTGGGCAGTAAAAAATGTGCTAGATTGAGTTGCAATGTAAGAAGCAACGGAAGCACTGATTCCACTTATGGATGTATTTTCAGGGAAGAGATACAACAGATGTGTTCAAGGGGATGTTGGGGGATGTTTGTCTGGCCATGTGGAAATAAATGAGGTAATAACTGCTGCTATTTTGACATGTAACTCCAATATCCTGCAGTAAGTGTGCTTGTGACTTCTTATAATTTCTTGTGACTAGTCAGAAATAATTAGATAAAAAAATGTTATTTGGATTTTACTTCTACCAAATCTAAGCGGTGATAGGCTGAGAAAGTCGGGGCTGTTCAGCCTGGAGAAGAGAAAGCTGCATGGAGACCTCATAGCAGCCTTCCAGTACCTGATGGGGGCCTATAGGGATGCTGGAGGGGGACTCTTCTTTAGGCACTGTAGCAACAGGACAAGGGGGAATAGGTTTAAACTTGAGCAGGTTAGATATAAGGAAGAAGTTCTTTACTCTGAGGGTGGTGAGCCACTGAAACAGGTTGCCCAAAGAAGTGGTCAATGCTCCATCCCTGGCAGTGTTCAAGACCAGGTTGAACAGAGCAACATGGTCTAGTGTGACGTGTCCCTGCCCATGGCAGGGGGTTTGGAGTGAGATCCTTCTCAGCCCTAACTATCCTATGGTTCTATGATTCATGGAATACGATAGAAGGCATCTACTAATTCTCTTATATGCATATAAACCAATATCTGACAAACAAATATGAAAAGTAATCAAATACTAGAGCTATTGCTGAACAGTCTGAGGAAAGATCTTAAAGACTTGGATAATTTCCTCCTTTTTTTTTTAATGTATAAAAAAGGACCTTAATTACTTTAAGGAATGCTGTATATCAAACTGAAATCTTCCTATGCAGGCAGTTGGATGCAATATGCAGCAAATTGGTAATAAAAGTTGAGAGTCATAAGATTAAAATGCTGCTCTCCATTAAAAGGAAATTAGTTTTGGTTGTTTTTGTTTTTGTTTGTTTGTTTGTTTTTTTTCCCCCTCTTCTTCTTTAAAGCAATTTCTGAGCCAAACAGAAATGGCTCCTCTCAGACATTTAGAAAGCAGGATTTAAGAAATAGTATATGATAGCTCTTTTGGCTTCAAAGTGCACAAAGTCCTTGGAAAAACGTCATCTTTCCTAATTCCCTTTGGAGCTGTTGGCACCAACTGTGTGGGATACAAATTGTAAAACTCTACTGGGTACTCAGGTGCTAGAGTTTTTGCTAACTGAATTTCTATTTCTTTACATTGCAGTCAGTACTAAAACATTGAATCACATATGTTGTGATTCAAGGTAAGGTGAGGGTCTTTAACATTTAGTTTCTAAGCGTGTCCAGGTTTTTTTGAGTAAAGCAGCACTGTGCTGGATGCTACCTTTATGTATTTTAAGAGTTCATGTGAGAGAAAAATTGTATTGACATTAAAATCGGAAAAGAGCAGAACTTTTGGGCCCTGGCTACAAACTTTTATCTCTATATAAAGAAATTTATTAAGGGCTGGATAGAGTGTTTTGACTTTATTGCAATTTGAAATGCTTTTTCCCTCCAGGAGGTCTGAGAGGAGGTTGTTTCTCCAGGACCAAATTTTTCTTTCCCCTTTGCCCTCTAGCATTCCTGCGTTGAGTGTCTTTGCTGTGAGATAAGAGGTAACTTCCAAAGTGCTGCAAAATTTACCCTGCGGTTTAGGATGTTTTCTTCCATGCCTCGCCACCTCCTCAGCAAACCTATTCATGTAGTCCCGGCTCTCTGTATGCGCACTCAGAGTCAAACAAGTCCTGAGTGGGAGCAGTCGGTACACGGTATTTCTCAAAATGCTCATCTCAAGGTGTGGCATGGTGAAAAGTGATCTCTGCCTTCCTTTTCCTTATTCAAGTCTAATAGTGACATCCAGCAGAAGTCAGAGTTATGATACTTAAAAAGATGATGCTATTAGTAATTGAACTGAAGACTTTTATTTAGGGAGCAAGTAACACAAATAACCTATTTCTAATCTTGTGGTTAAGGCCATCTGGGAGAGGAGTAGAGTTCTGTTAAGCTGTAGGAGCGTGTATCAACCATGGCCAGAGCAGAGTTGACAAAGATTGTTCTCTGCTTGCACCTGCATGGGAGGAGCACTGAGACTTTCACATTTGGGTTTCTATAGACTGGGAGAAGCTTGTTGGGGCAGGCTGGTTTGAAACTGAACTTTTCTTCTGATAGATTGTTTGACTAGGTTTAATAACTCCAGTGCTGGTTATGCTAAAACTGAACTATGTAGCTGTGCAGTGTTCATGAGGAGCATAACCAAGCTTTTCAGAGTTCAAGGAGCCTTGGACAAAGCTCTTAGTCATATGGTTCAGTTCTAGGTAGTCCCATGAGAAGCAGGGAGTTGGACTTGATCCTTAAAGGTCCCTTCCAACTTGAGATATTCTGTGGTAACTTCTGTTTGTAATCTTTTTTTTTATGTTTGGAGATGCTGCTTTTTGCAGGGCTTTGATATGAAGTTCCTGGGCAATACTGTTGCAACAGAGGTTTGGAGATTTTGAGGTTGGGTTGGTTTTCCTTAAAAATGGTCAATTTATGGTATTTACTGTTGCAGGATGTGATAGAGGGCAAAGCTAAGAGTTCAGAAAGAAATCCAATATACTTACGGAGGAGAAAAAGAGAGGCAGAGCATCTAGTAGCCTGGTCCTCTGAGGTTCAAGAGGTTTCCAGACAGCAGATTTCCAGAAGCAAGTAGGATATGCAAATGACCCGTCTTGTTTCTTTTTCCCTAAAGATGCTTGTAGTCTTTGTTAGAGAGTAGCTGATGAAAAGAGTTATACCTCTGTGCTGAGGCATTTCTGTTCCTATGTCCATTCTCAGCTGGGCTGCCAGGCTAAGGAATGTTCTCTTCAACAGGAAATTAAAGACCTGAATCTATTGGATTTGGATGTGGAAGGTATAAACAGAAAAAGATGGAGGGAGGGAGGGAGGGAGGGAGAAAATAATGGTCATTGCCATCCGTTGTACCATGCCTTCTGAGCCTGTCCGGTCTAGACAAAGCCAACTATCTGGCAGGCTCCAGACATTCTGCTTCCTGCCATCTGCCACAGCTAGTAAAGCTAGAACAGTTTGTTTGTCATCTTGTCTTATTTTGAAACATGCTAACGTGTTTATGAGATAAATTGCACAAAATGACATCCGTGTACAAAACTTGGTAGCTCTAAGCCAAATGCTTTTCAGAATGATATACATATTTGCTGAATAATTTTGACAAAGCAAATTCTGTATGACCAGGTTGTAATAAAACCAAAAACAAACAAACAAACCAAAAAAAACCCCAAATAACCTAGTGACTGTACTTCTCATTGAAAATTTGAACTATCTGGGTTAGAAAAAAAGTAAAATCATGTATTATTCATCCTTAATAGGATAATGCATAACTCTTAACAATTGCAAACATGAGGTAGTGTTACTTGATTGCTACCATTTTAAGTCTGTTGCTTGCAAATGTACACAGTATTTCCATATTGTTGTAAATTAATTCATGATACCACACCCTTGCTTTAAAAAATGTGGTAATATTAATGTTAATAATTCACCTTATGAAAGAATACTGAAATAGCTATGGAAACACTCCTTGCAATGTATACTGCCTTTGTAATTTTATTATCACCATGAATATAAATACCTCTACTGTTTATAAGCAAATATAAGTATGTAATGGATGTTAGGGAAAAAAATACTGCTTTTCTTTTCCTATTCTATATTGTCAGCTTCTTTCTCCTCTTACCCCACACTTCTGAAACTACTTTGTCTTCCTATAATGAATGTGCAAGAAATATTTTGTCAATCTTTGCCTTTGAGGCTCACTTGCACATGAATCTTCAGCATCTGTCTTTAGAGTTCAGAGATGAACAGTATAATGTTGAAACATATTAGTTGAAGAAAGGACAGATAACCTGAAATGTTGACTGCATCTTGTAAGCTATCATGGGGAAATTGTTGTGGCTTTTTCAGTTCAAACTTTGTTTAGCTTAATGTTCTGTTCTTTAAAGGCAAAGATGTTCAAGATTACTGACTTATTTACTAGCATGTTTTGTTGTGCTAGCTCTTCTAGGGAATAGTCAAACATGGCAAAAATGCTCACCGCCAGTCTTGCAAAAGAACTTTAGTAAACTAAATGTATAGTCAACATCTAAAGTCTCCCAGAAAGGTTCTCCATAATAAAACTAATCTCACTAGGTTGTTAACAGCTATTGCTCGTGGATAGTTTTGGGACTTTTAGAGGGCTCATTGTATTAGGTGGCTTAAAAAGGCAAACAAAAGATTCAGAGTAAAACTGAAATATCATATTAATGTTTCATAAAGCAAAGTAAGGTTATAAAGGAGAGCTTTAAAATAACCTAATTTTTCCAAACCTTCATTTAAGTGCTTGCAAGCTTTTTGAAAATTCTGTAGTTAGCAAAGGAGACATAGCCATTAAGCTAAGAACAAAGCTGTGTTATTTCAATTTGTGTTTCCCTAAATAGCATACCCACACTACAGTGTACTGAAAGCGTTTGTTCTTAAATAACTCTCAAAATATTAGTGAATTCACTTTGACTTGTACTTTTTTTGAGACTGCTATATACAGTATCAATTATGCAGATACAATATTAATAGCTTATAAAGCGATATATGTTTGATTAGCTACTGAAAAGCTCACAACAGTTTTTGGGGAAAGCACTGTCTAATAATGAGCCAGAACTTTAAAACATAAATATTAATTTCTTACTGGTTTGTGGTTTTTTTTTTGTGTGTGTGTGTTTTTTGTTTTGTTTTTAAATTTTGTTTTCAAACTCAAGGCTCTGTCTACTAAATGCATGGTATCTGTAGAGGTGTGAAGGAAAGTTATATGCCTGTGACAAACTACCCAGCCAATGGGAGGTAACTGAAAACAATGTTTTGGAGAATGGGCTGTGTTTGGTAAAGAGAGAACTGACCTGGCAGAGACTGGAATAAGTTTATTTTAATATTTCCTGCACATAACATCTGCTAAAGCACCAGAATTTCCCTTTGCTTGATTTCGCAAGGATTTCTTTAGCTATCCTAGCTCCTGCTCTTCATAGCCAGCAGTGTTATGTTATCAGAGATTGAGACTGTTGCATTAATATCCTGTGACAGTATGTATATTTAAAAGATGGAGTACACTGTTAACTGGAAATATTACTTAGCACTTTCTTTCAAAGGAGAGATTTTGCTTCAAGTTATTGTACAGTTAGAAGAAAGTTAACTGAAAGATAAGAACTAGAAAGAAGTGTAAATTTTCTACCTGCGCTATTGATTTTCATGCTTTTTGTATTATTTATACTCCATGAATGTTCCAATGCAAGTAAAACCTACTTATAAGCATACGGGTGGGAAAGAAAAATGTTAGAAGAAAGAAGATTTTATACACCATCTCATGATTATAGTTATTCAAAGGACAGTGTTTTCACATAGAATAGGTCTCAATACGGCCTTTAAAAATAAGACAAATAATAAGCAAAAAATAACATGGAGTTAATCAGATGGCACTCAAATCCTGTCAGCTTCTGGTTTTGTAAAAACATAATATGAAAAACTTTGAGAATGTGATCAGTATGCCTGGCCTGACGTTTTTCATCAGTAGTGTTGACTCGGTGTCCATCAAGAGTGTTTGTTTACTGTGGAAATGCTTTTCAACAATCAACCAGCAAAAAAACCCCAATCCAAACAGATAATGTTTTTGCTGGATGTGCTGCAAGTTCACTGTAGCTGTCTTGGTATTTAACTTAGGACGGATACAGTTTGCCTTACCAGCCACTGCTTTCTTCTGGGTCAGGCCAGCATCTAATGCGCAGCCATGCAATTCCTGTAGCGCATGACATGTGCTCATCAAGGGAGAATGAACAGTGGGAAATGTCACCCCTCCACAGTGGCTGAGGCAAAGGGAAGCCTGGGGGAGGTGAACCTTTGCTACCATAAGGCACTGCTGGGGTATTTCAAATTAGATTTTTAGAACTCCCAAATGATATATTCTGTGCTACTAAAATATCAGTTATTTTCTATATCCCATTTTGTAGTGGCTGCAAGGGCTAGAATGGCTGTCACTAGTGCTGTATAAAAGGAATTCATTTTCTGCTTTAAAAATCTTATGGCTTTAAACCCACTTTTGTAACTTGGCTGGTACACATCATTGTTTTCAGTCCTTGCAAGAGATATAGCTGGACTGAAAATACTGCTGTCAGGCGCCAGGCTCCCAACTGACAAATCTTGGTTTGAATCCTTTTGTTTTGCTCATGTAGCACAGGTTGCCACACAGGTTTAAAATCAAAGATGCTTCAAGATGCTGGGTTTGTGTTAGTGCTGGTAAGAAAACCTATTGCTGTGTTTCTGAAATCTCCACTGAGCTTTGCATCACCATGGGATCTTTGTTTCTGCTGGTCCTGTGGAGCATGGTGCGTCCTATGGGGGGTGGTTAGGGCTTCCATAGGAGAAGGGAGCCGCTGGCTTGGACAGAAATGAGGCTTGTCCGTTAAGCTGATTTTAATAAGTAAAAAAAACCACACCCCAAAAACCCAAACCCACCCCCCCCCCCAAAAAAAAAACAACCAAACCCTCAAAACATTAAATTCCAGCATTGTGAGTGTATGAATAAAGATTGCTTTTGTCATCTGATAAGTTCTTCAGTTCTTGCTAGACTGCACTAGACCCCTGCACTTGTACCGGTACTGTTCAATACACTGAATATTATTTTGTGATATTGTGAGTAAAGAAAAAGGAGAATATGTGTGGAATTAGTTCTTGCTTAAAGTAAGGTGTTAGATCAGATGAACTCCACAGGTTCCTTTCAACCTTAAAATTAGTCTTTGACTTTTGTTGTCAATTGCGTACATTAACTGGAAGAAATGCTGGCTGTAATAAACTGTGTATCCACAGGCTTTCCATAACATTTCAGGGACTTCTTATGTGCTTACTGAGAGGCATTTAGCATCTATCAGTAAGCACAAATTACTTACCAGGGACTTTTACCCACTAATTCAAAACACTTATTTGAGAATTCCAAAGCCAGTTCAAAATAAGATCAAACCAGTTCTGCCACAGATCATCTTCTCAGATCATTAGCTTGCTTAATCATAGGCTTCTACACAGAACTCTGCATCCATCTCTAATGTATTTGCACTACCTGTGAGCATCCAGATGAAGCTGCTCATGATGATTATTCATCCAGCAGCCAGATAGGTTTAGAAAAAAGCTTTTTAAAAATTATGTCATCCTTTGTTTAGAGCTAGAAATAGGCGTGCAGCTTTTTGCATTAGTTTGCACTGCATTATTTTAATGTGTCTCAGTTGAGTCCAGGAGGGCTGTCATCAGCAGCTGTATCCTGCAAGATGGTTCTCTTTTTATTAAGCTGCTCTGTGATGGAAAGGCACTGCTTAGCAACATTCTTTGGTAAGAAATGTGCTGCGAAGCTCCTTCCCTTCCATTCCCATACTGTGCAGAAAAGTGTGCGCTTCATCTAATGCCTCATCCTAATGACTGTCTGAGTGGGGCTGCAGTGGCCAGCCCTTGGGGAATCCTTCAGTAGGAATGTCTGGTCACGATTTCCGTATCTGGGGCTACTACCATAGGATACTGCAGCAGTGCGAAGTAATTAGTAATGTTTACACAATGCTACCAGTATTCAGAAAGTAGTATTCCTTGGTGTAAGAGTGAGAAATAACCATCAGAGAGAAGATCAGGTAATCATCTGCTAAGCTGTCATTTGGCAGTTGGAAAGCTCTCTGTATTTATGATTGTACGAAGACTGTACTTCTATATTTTATGGCTTTTATAAATTATGCTTCTCCCTTTGGGAGATTAATATGCATAAACAGAAAAAATAATCTAAGCATCATCATGGTTTTCTACTAGAAAAGTGGTTTAGTGTTATAGGCAAGGAAGAATACAGGTAAAAACTCTTATTTTTTACTGGTTAGTTATTCCGCTGGTTCTGCCAGGCTGCACTGAGTCAAGATAGACCTTTCAGGTATAAACTTTGGGAAGCAAATCTTGCCTCAGAAAAAGAGACCTAATTGGTGTCTGACGGTGTTCTGAAAGGAAGAAAAGAGTTGACACTGGTGTAATGCTGTTTGCACATATCCTCATCCCATGGCAGGTTTGGATGTACAGCCTCTTCATAAACATTATCCAGATACATGATCAAATTAAGAAAAGGTGGGGTTTTATTTCTGAATGTGTATAGAGTGATTCTGGGAAAAGAAAGCATTTGTGAATTAAGTTGAGCACCACATGCTGTATGTCTGGCTGTGAAGTCCCTGTGCCTTACATTATAAGAAACAATGGCTGGTTGTAGACTCAAATATTGATGGTAAATGACACATGTTTTTCAGCATCTAAGATTTTGATAAACTTGAAATCTAAGGGAAGCAGACTTTCAAGGAAAACTGCATTATTTTTGAATCACTGTTTTTTAATTTTCTTATCTACCTATTTGAGAAGCATTATGGAAAGGAACAGTGTATCAAAATCAATTGATAGGCAGTCCTTTCCAGATGGATAAACCTAGGTGCCTTCTTGCCTGATACAGTCAAACTCACTTATTCCTTTTGGCAATCATCCCTGTTTTCAGGGGTATATTTTTGGTTTAGGAGGACACCTGCTTATTTTCCAGTGGGCAGTACCCACCACAAATCTCATTTCCCAGAGCAGGGTTGAGCCCTCATCCTATGGAAGTAAGCAAAATGAGCTTGCTGTATGGGATTGCTGAATGTGCCTCTTCCTGAGCAAAACTGTTGCTGGTAGCTCAGAGGTGAAAATGAACAGCAGTGTACTATCTCTCCACTTCACCAGCTCAACAAACGGAGCTTGGTCTGAGGGAACCTGATGTTCACAACATAGCTTGTATTTCTTTGTGTTACAAATGGCTGCTGAATTAGCTGTCAGTACAGGCAAGAGAGCTGTTGGCTCCTTCCAATGCTTGCCATGGTTCCTCTTGCTCAAGCACTTGCCCTGTTCTTAACCAAATAACTGTAGCTTCTCCTCTGCCTCAGCCAGGTCCTTCCCTGGCTGTATTGCTTGACTTAAATCCCAGAAACCATATATTTAGCAATTTGGTTGGGTATAATTTGGGTTCTGTACAAAAGGACGCTTCATTTGGTCTGGTATCTTCATTTTCACCATTGTGCAGCTGTCTCGGATGAGTGGAATGCACATCACTGGAAAGAGAGAAGCAGCAAAAAAATATTAAGGTTAAAATAATAATTAGACATAGTTCAATATATTCAGTGGAATTTAACAACATTTAACAGTGGTTTACCAAGGTTTAAAATGTTTGATGGCAAGATTCATCTCATTAGTTACTGCATGGAAGAAACATACAAGGAAAATTGAGCTAGAATTGAGTTAGAATAATTCATACAGAGAGCGGTGGTGCAAAGGATAAAGAAGACCTTCCTGTTATCTGATATTGATGACACTTCCATTGAGTCATGAGGTTCAGAGTGTACCCCCTTGCTTTTCTAACTCCTTACGGAGCCTAGGTACAGCTAGGTCCAGTCTCAGCCTTGGACATAAGCTTATACCAAATGGTGTTATCTATACAGTGTTTATAATAATATTGAATAGCTACGTGCATTAGTAATATTTCACTAGCATTAATTCGGCATGCTATCAGTCACTGAGGATCTGTCACAGGTAAGGGGTCTTTCTGCCTTGGGCAAAGAAGGATCTCTTAGTCTCAGCTAAGGAGTCCCAAACCTTGGGAGATATCTTTGCTCAAAGGGAAAGTTATCAGATGTCCAGTCTATTTCCAATTCAGGGAGAGCTCAAACTGGGATCACCCTGATTGATAGTAATATTTATAGAGTAAAGTAGTAGGCTGCTGGTAACTAGTATAGACGAGGATAGATGTCTTTGTTTCAGCATTGGTATCGTGTTCTGTACTTCGGTTATCTGGTGTTCTTGGGCTTCAAAACCACCTTTTGAAATATTTTTCTGAGGCACTTTCACTTCCTTGTACATGAGCCAGGAGCTTTCCTGCTCACAGGTTCACCACAAGGCATGCGGCCTGCTGCTCCTTGGTTAGCCTGAACTAAATAGCTAGGGGAAAAGCTTACATTTAGCCTTATGTATGTTCCCTGTCTTCTGATGTCTTTATACTGTAGGTTTTGGCACCAGTGTAGACTAACGTCTTGAAGTTTAAGTCATGAATCTGAGATTTATTGTAAATTGACGACTCTAGCCTGTGAGTGGTTTGGACTTTGGTAAACTAGTTAACAAGAATTAACAAGTGGGTTGAGCTTCCCTCTTGGCAAGAAGCAACAAGTATTAATAAGAGATAAAACTTTATTAGCTTCTTCTGACACTTGGAAAAAAAAATCCCACTTACCTTGCTGAGGCATTTGGTCTCAGGGCTCCTCTCTGCCAATTCTCTTCACTCAAGAAGGCAATTTAATATAAATTAATAAACTCTTGATTGTTTCTATATTGATTAATAGCAGCTACCTGTAATTTTTCTGAGTTTCATATTGGCTGCAGTAGTAAGATGTTGGGGGTTTAATTAGATGATTTTTTTTTTTGTAAATGCTGCACCTGAAATGACCTCTGTTATTAACTGTTTATAATAGTCACCACAGCGCATTGTATCTGGTCATGCTCCTCCAGGAGGGAGGCTGACCATTTGGTGCGCTGTGTGCACAACTGGGATGCTTGCTTTCAGTGCAGGAGTCTGCCATTACCTGTTAGGAGTCAAATGCTGGCAGTGGAAGGATTGGCACCCTAACCATTGCATAGCTACAAACTACTTATCAAATCTCATGTGCATGGAGATTAGGTTGTATTATAGAAGATTATGCAATTATTTTAGATTTGAGATTGTTTACTCCTTGTCTCTTGCGTTGTTAACCTTGCAAGACCATGTGTAACTTCTTCCTCTTGTTGCTTTGTTGTTGTCTAGAGTGCCTTCAGCCTTTGCAGTAGCAACAGATCCTATTCCTTTGTCTGAAAGGGAATTCATTAATTTTCAGGAGTTAGTACAAGGATTAGAAAGCTCTACATGAAGCTTTTTGCAATCCTTTCTGCTATGTTTTATCTGTTCATTTGATCAGGACAATGCTGCATGTATGTGGAGGATTCAATAATGTATCCAGTAAATAGAATATTTTGAGATAATCGCAAAATCCACCTGACAGTGGTAACAATGAACCCAAACTGAATGAAAAAACTTGATACTTAATGGAGTTTGTATGTAAACAGAAAAAAAAAAAGTGGGCTGTTTTCTTTTTTCTTATCCCCCCCCCCCCCCCTTATTAATCATTAAGCTTCAAGGAAATTTTTCATCTTACAGCTAAACCAGGAAAGTGGTTATTAATGTAGGTGGTAAAGTAGAAGTCCTCATTAGAAGTGACGCTTAACTGAAACCCTAGTAAGGTTGTTTGCACAGTGGGAAAACTGTCAAGATGTCACAAGACAAATTGTCTTAATACTGAATAAATATATAGAGGAAAGTTAGAGGGCTGTAATTGTTCACCTGGAAGAATTTTTTGTAGAAAAATAGCTACAGTATGTAGAATATTTTTATGAGTACATACAAAGAAATAAGACATTAATACTGTGGAAATAGAATAATGTGGGGAAAAACATAGTACTTCATTCTTTAACCTAGCACTTTGAAATTTTTTCAGTTAATCAATAGGAAAATTATTGTATGATCTTGATCAATATTAGTAAGCAGATGTGATTTGCTGGTTAGTATACAATACTTGGCCACTTGGGAGTATCCTGGATAATTATTCACTCATACTTCTCTTATAGCATGAACTGTATTTATCGTTTTGAGAGCACATTCAAGAAAAAACGTTTCTCTTGATTCACAGAATATTTAAAGTGCACTGCAGCCTGAGAGGAGAGACAGAATTGGAATCATGGTGTGGATCCTGGTGACAGAAGTTACTGCAACCAGTCCTGAAATAAGCTGTGTTTGTCCTAGGTAAGATGTTCATCCCACATACTATGTTAACTTGGAATTGCATGTTTTAATTTTCTGAAACATTTGATTCTACAATATTTATTTAAAGTAAATATTTGGCATATATTATTAAATCCATGCATTTTCTCACTAAAGAATATTCTTATGTCCAGCAACGTAAGGTCAGTAGTCAGTATTTAACACTGACAACTTTATTATGTTAACATATGTTATGTATAGTTTTCTTTGTCCTGTTGCTATATAACCTGAAAGATCTGTGTCAGTCTTGAAAGATAAAGAGACTAAGGATGATGTTTGCAGGATAAAGAAAGTTTAGTAAATGTTTATCTTCATGAGTGGATTAGAGAAAGCAGTTGTAATGGTGCTTTATTTTAAGGCTGTTTAATATGGTGAAAAACAGGTGGATGTGTGTATGAGTGTCATTAAGACTCCTGCTCTTTCTCTTTCTTTTGGTGTAGACTTAATATGTTTCTGATTGTGAAATTGTAAGTGGTATTGAATCTCTCTGGAGAATTCTTTTTTTTTCTTTCTGATGTATCAGAATGTATGATGTAAGACCCAAGGGCAAGGTTATAGTGGTAAGGTCCTCTATCCCATCCTTTTGCTTTGATGGGAGGTAAACAGGTTCTTTGGCAAGCTGTGGCTTTGTGGTGTAAAAGAGCCACTTTCTCTCCCAGCAAGTGTCAGCTGTTAGCATGGTGAACATTTTATTGCATTTTCAGTATTTTTAAGTTCTTGGTTTTATAAAAGGTAATGATGGTATCTAATTTTTGATGAGGTGGGTCTGCTTTTCTCTTTTTGAAGTAGAAAATAGACAAATGGCATTCTATATACCGTAATAAATGTTATTTTGGTACCTCTAGTTTATTATGGGTGAATTATTAAAATATTACCATTGCATGTAGATTATACAGTGAATGGCCAGATGATAAAATGGAAGGATTTAATTCTTAGCTATCATATGCCATGAAGTAGGGAGGGGGGGGGGGGAGGGGGGTGGAGATAACTGACAAGTGCAGTCAAGTTTAGACCTCAAGTGGGGATGTTTAAAACCATCACATCTCTGTTCAGCTATGTGTTTAACTGTGATTTTTTTTTTTTGTTTTTCCTTTTGTTACTTCAGCCTTTTATATAGAGAAGTACATGTCACAACACTCTGATTAACAGCTGAGTTATTGAAGCTATGGCAAGGATTAAGGGTAATTTTGTTCAGTGTTAAAAAATGTCTCTTCAGAATTGCAGCACCGATTTGATGGATATTAACTGTATTTTCTGAAAATATTCATTGACATCTGTATATTTATAATTTCTGCCATCAGAGGAGTTTCTCTTTGTACTTTGGATACAGCCATAACTCACTGCAATCTCAAATATGTACTGTATTTAATGATACTTCTGAGACTTATTATTGAACTCGGGTTTATTACAGTTAGCAACACATCTCACATGACCATACACTGAAATTTCATCCTCTGGTTAATTTATAAAAACCTTCATACCCAGTTGACTGGCAGGCTCTTGTGAGTACACATAGCCTGGGTTTTGAGAACTGGTAGAAAGGCGTTGTTTATTTTAGTTGTTCCTCATTCCTCCAGCCTCCTGTGAATTAGTAGCTTTTCACAGCACAAAGGAAAATCACATCTCATCATTCAGTTATTTAGATTTTTTCAAGTCACAAAGGGATCTTAAAGTCCACAGATTCCCAAAAAGAATATAAAATGCAATGACAATTTCAGAACATCCTGGTGGTACTGTAAAATTTCTGATTCTGTAAAAGTGAAGAGTTTTGAAACAGGATCTTTTTAGAAGTCAAGAACTGTAATTTCTGTCCTCCAGACACTGATCTTTAGGGAGTCTGTCATTCAGCTCTGCAAGTCTAGAGTCTCTCAGGAGTCATTTTAGTGAGAGAAGAAAGGCAGGAAGGTGATGGAATAGCTGATAAAAGGGTCAGGCTACATCACAGGATGCAAAAAGGAATTAGAGTGGAGAGCAAATGAGAAGATTTAAGGATGAAAAGATAAATTCCATGATAAAGGAGATAATGTAGGCATCTGGGAGAAAAGTAAATAGAGAGATGTGAAAATGGAGAATGTAAACCAGAAATAAAAGTCAGGATATTTAAAGAAATTACCTGAAAACTGGGGTAAGGAAATTAAAGGAAGGTGGCACCATGTTAGGCATCAAAATGAGCTGTAGCAACCTGTGTGCATAATTTATCTTTTAAAATAAAGGCATTAAAGCTATTAAAAAACCTGAATGTGTCGAACACCCTGAAAAGTGAAAAAATAGATAGGTTACAGCTCAGTCTGCATGTTTCCTTGAACTGGTGACATCACCACTTATAATTTCCTGTAATCTCTTTGTTTAATGCTACCACGTTTATAGCTCATTCCAACAAGGATGCCCCCTTTTGTTGCATATCATATATTCTCTTATAAGTTCTTTGTAGAAGTAGTTTTTACCCTTGTAGGTTTGTTATTTTTATCTTCTAAATACAGCTTTTATTCCCTTGAACCTACATTACTGGCCTGATATACTGTCAATAGTAAGAAATATATTGGGACATAAAGAAACCATCAAGACTTAGAAAACCACTAATGTTTCCTAATGTTGTGTGTGAGAGAGAGCGCAAGCACAAAATATAGTGGCTACTCTAAAGGAATGTTTTTAGGAATCCATTTTTCCTTTGTATTCCGAATAACCCTGAAGTAGATGTACTTGGCTTCAGATACAGTGGTCTTTTATTTTTCTATATTAAGCCACTGTCTCTTTGCTGCTGATGAATATTTTGTTATTAAATAAATCCTCTTTGTACAAATAATGAGTTTCCTTTGAATTTAATCAATTCATATTAAATATTAACCTATTAAATATATTTGCAGCTTCCCATTTGTAGGCTTATCTCTGAATTTTATTAATTAAATATTGGTTAGCTATTAGAACTGCTTCTTGCACAGGAAAACCTCTAAGTGTCTGCAGTTAATGCCTCAGCTCTTCTCTGTTGCTGAGGCTGCAGTAGGGGTGTATCTGCTACATATAGGGTTGAATATACCTTAACCAAAAACTGCAGATGAAGAGCTGGCATCGTGCTCTTTGGCAGTTAATAGAAGTTGGTAGGTGTTTCATCACATTATGAATCATTTAAACATTGATACTGATAGCTCTAAAAGGCAGCTTTGAAGTGAGGTAGAGGTCTCCTGAAACTAAGTGGTAATACTAATTCAGTCTCTGTTAGAATATGAGACATTCTACGGGAGTGTTACAAAAAGTGTGATTCCTACAGACCTAATTATGTTCATAGCTAGAACTATTTTCTCTGAAATCAACTCTTTACTTGTTGAAACGGAAACAACATTTTCAAAATCTCAATGAAGATGATAGTTAATTCAGTTTCCAAAGACATTTCAGGTTGGGACAACCTTTCTTTTGTGATGATGGCTGTCACTTTGCTGCCTTCTTTGAGTTAGGGCTGCTGTCTACAGCAGAGGTTTGATAACAGGTGTCAGAATTAGATGCATCACATTTAGATGTGGATATCTAAATCCTGAGAGGCTAATGTGAACTGTGCTGTTTGCAGAAATGCAGGGAGTGAGCCTTACTCTGAAATAGCACTGAAACACATCCAGTGCTTTCGGATGGGGTTGAATAAGGAGCTTTGGAGGCAGAAATCCTCTGCTTATCCTGAGAGCAAATGGCAGAAGCAGTCTAAGCTCCTGGCGGTCCATGTAAAATTTTGATCTGGAAAGCTTAGTAAAAGTGATAGTTCATTTGAATTCTCCTTTGCACACAATCAGGATGTTGCCTTTATAAGGAAATTTTTTAGGTTTCACGTTCAGCTAGGATCTGAACTGAAAACATGAGTCCTGCTCAGGGAGCCAGCTAGAATGCTTTCAGATAATGGATTTCAGGTAATACCTGGATTCAGTAATGAAAAGCTGTATTCAGTTGCTGGCTAAGCAGTATAAGATGTCACTTAAGCACTCCTCTGGTGATGAAAACTTTTGGGGGCAGTCAGAATGTTTAAAAACACAAGGCATTCCTTATTAGGTAGAACTTATGTCTGTAAACTAAACTCATTTTGCAGCTCTTGGAGAGTAAGTTCATTCTGCAGCCTTCTTTGCCATCAGTAGGGACCGCAAGGGCCTATCTCCTGAACATGCTACGAAGTTTATAAACATTTTCAATACTTCAGAATTTTTACTTCCCAACTGAAATTTGCAAATGGACTTACAAGTCTTTAAAGTTATGCAAACTTCAGCCATCAATCTTATTTCCTTAGGAGATCTGGCTAAGGAATTAATTTGTCTGTATCGTAAGAGGAAAAAGTTAAATGGAAAAGGACTCCCTTATGTAACAGTTTGATAGAAAGTACCAGCTGAGCGTGATTTATTTAAATGACAGTAGAAATTATTGTCACTGCAACAAATAATGTTGCTCAGGTAGATCCTCATTTGTTTAAAGCTACCCATAGGTGTACAAATTTAGAAGTACAAATTATTCAGAAATATAAAACTGGCCATCATGTTAATCAATGTATTATGAAGGTACAGACAGAAACGTGCAAAAGAGCAACTGGAAAAAGCTGTAGTGTTCTGTGTTGAGGTATTGGTCTTTGCTCGAAGGAAGTCTTTTGTCTAAAAATTTACATCAAATTTATTGTTCCTCCTATATTTGGTGGTAGTGGTCATTGGGAGGAGATTTCTCTTAGACAGTTCAGGAATTCTTTTAGGAGTATCAGCAAGGTTTATTTTGAGAATTTTTATTTTAAATATGATTAAGAATTAATTCTGTCTAAGACACTTTTACCCCTAATCCTAATAATGACACCCAAAATGGAAATATAGTTATTCCAATTCCTGTACCCGTAAAGGCTGTAGCTAAATTATCTCTTTTCTAAAAGGAATTCCTGCAGATTTACAATGGAAGTGCTGTATGGCTCTGTGGTCCTTAAAATGCTGGGTTTATAGAAGGCTGCTGTGACTCTCCATATGACTTTTTTT